TAATAACCTTGAGTTTTCATCTTTTCTGAACACAAAGATACAAAGGGGTTAGATAAGATCAGACATTTGGAAGGGTCAGGCACAAAAGAACACACTCAGGAAATTTCTGTTTACATTTTTTCATATCTCTGGGTCTGTGTACATGAACTTAATTTATATTTATATAGTGCTTTATGTTTTTACAACATGCTTTTGAATTGTCATTTGTATCCTTTACATAACCCTATCAATTAACCAGGGAGTGTAATTTTATTACCGGCTTCAGATAAACAGAATGAGAATAAGTTATTGCCTGTAATCATGCAGCTAAGTTGCAGAATCAGGACTTGAACCCAGTCAATCCGCTTCAACTGTGCCCAGTGCCCTTTGCACCAGGCCCCAGTGTGTTTTTACCTGTGGTCTCTCATATATTCACTACATCTCTGATCATTTCAATGGCAAGAAACCACCATAATAAACATTTCAGTTGGACCCAACCACCTCCGTGCTGGTGCTGTTAGATGACGTGTGGATGCGTAATTCTGATTACTTTTATTGCTAGGGCGCTACTTATCAGGCATTCCAGTTTTTACCTAGAATTTGCTGAAAGGTTATTTTGTGTTTTCTGATAGATAATAAGTTGTCTTTATATAAGATTATAGGTAATGGCTTTTTTAAATTGACCATTGCGTGTTTGTCAAACCTGACTTTGAATTGTGCTTTAATTGTGCATCCATACAAAATTCCATTGACATGTCAACACCAAAGATTTTTTTCATCATGTTAGAATAACTAGTATTCAGTTCTCCAGTCAGCTTTTTGATGAACAGATAACATAGAGGTCCCAAATATTTTTTATATTCCAAGTGCCCAAATTAAATGAACGAATCACGATGCCATTCAAGGCGATACCTTTGTTGTATAAAGCAAGGCATTGTGATAATGCCAAAAGTACATTTCAAAATACTACATTTTAAAAAATGAATTATATGAAGAAAGAAATAACATGAACGTTTTTGCCTTTAGGGGATTTTTTTTCCCCTTGATCCCGCCCTATTTTAATAAAAAGCCCTAAAAGTGTCACCTAGGTTTTGACTGTTTTATTTTTGCTAAGAAATGAGCTTTTCAGCTGTGTTAAATTACCAGAAATGATGCTATCCAATAGTAACTGGAGCCTTCAGTAGTGGGAGTGTAATTACCATATTAGCTTCGTAAATCATTTGCTTCTCAGGACTATATTAGTTCACGAGAGCAGCAGCTGCAGTTTTTTCCTACCTAGATGAAGTTCAGTAAAGCTGTTTCTGTTTTTATTCGCTCAAAGTTACAGTTTCTCCTTTGTGTTGACATTAAGCAGTGAATCTGTTAGTTCCCATTACCAGCAGAATAACCAGCACTATAAACAGTTTTATATTTTCTCTCACAGATCCTTTCGAGCTACATGTGTGCCTTTAATTTGATAGAATATCTGAGTTATACATCTTGTTTCCGGACTCGGTCTTTAGAAAAAATGTATACTTTTTAAAGCTTGTTCTTTCATAAAAATAAGAAAAAGAGAAGAAAAACAATGACAACTTTGTACCATCTATTGATCCCCCAGATACATAATAGATAAATTGAGCATCTAATTATAAAATGATATCAAGATAAAATACAAAAGTCAAGTCACTCCATCAAATTTATGATACTCATTTAAAAAAAAAATCTGCAGTATTGTAGTATTGTTTCATTGACTTGCTAGTTCTGCCAAAAAAACGATATATCGTAAACACCACAGATACAATTTTTCCCCATATCTAAGTGCTGTAAAATGGTTAGGTCTTCCTAATGTAAACCAAGCTGCAAAACACCAATTTAAAACACACTCTCATAGCTACTAGTATAAACACATTTTAGCAAGTTTTAAAGGTGGTCTGCAAGGATGTAATTATCTTGGACAACTGTTGCTCTGATGTTGGAAATAACTGGCTTATTACATTACAGTTCTCTAAGTGTAACAGACTGCGCAGTAATTGCTGTCGCCCTCCTGGAAGTCTCAGAGGGAAGCACCTCAATTCTGGCTTTGGTTGTAGCTTTGCAAGGCTTGGCTCACCTCATCTGTTTCCTGTTTCTGCTTTGGTTCACATGTAGGGGTCCTGTGATTAAGTTTTCCGAAACAGTTAGAATCACTTGTTTGTGTTGTCAGTGGTATGAATTTAGTGGACAAGACTCTGAGTGAACCTAAAATCTAATCCAGATATGGGGAGGTTTTCTTAGTACTGTGCCAAACCTGAGTATTTAATAGCTGAATTGTTGGCTGATATTTTGCTTTTGTTAAAACAATCATGTAAAGGTCTCCTGTGAATCTACCCTATACATGTCCAGCTTTGTTTTGGGCCACTGCATGGAATTTTTCTGGATCGATAGGAACCTAGCCTTTTCTTTTACAAAGCTTTTAATTGATTTAAGAAAAATTAGTTTGCATTAAAAAAAAAGTCACTACAAAGCCAAAATAACATGATATTTCATAAAATTAAAAGTAATTTCTTAACATAATTCAGTGCTATTCCATGCTTAATCTTCCTGGTTTTGATAAATATGTTCTTCGCCGCTGGTTTGTCCAAGTTAGGATCCAGCTGACCACATATTGTTGATGATTGTTTTGGTATTGTGATTTATAACAAGAAATACAGAGCTCCTAAAACCGTAGGAGTTTCCCAAGGGATAACAGCTATAAAGTTGCCTTTTATGTTAATGAGGTGACTTTTGGAAAGCTCCTAGGTAACCAAATTTGGGGACTGGTTGCCAGAAGAACCCACCAGGTGATTAGAAGGTAGAAACTTTCAGTCCCACCTCCTCCCCTGGGTGAGGTTTTATCAGTTGCCAGTGGCCAGTGACAATCATTCATGCTTACATAATGAAGCCTCCATAGAAACCCAGAGGACAGAGGTTGGAGAGCTTCGGGTTGCTGAGCATGGAGATGTGGGGGAGTGGTGCACTGGTGAGCTCATGGAAACTCCCCCTCTGCCCACACGCGTTGCTTAGGTACCTCTTCATCTGGCTGTTTATCAGTGTCCTTATAATACCTTGTTGGGGAGGAATAATTTTTCCTCCACCATACAAAGGTTTTTTTGGTTGGTGTAATAATCTAATAAATCAATAGTAAAGAGATTCACAGGGAAAAAGAAGTGTAATTTTGTGCAAACAGGAACCCCACATACATGAGAGGCTCGGAGATAGACAGGTAAGATGAGGTGTAAGTGTAACAAGGTGATTTTGGCTGCATAGGAAAGTGTTCTTAAAGAAACTTAAATAAATATTCTTAAATATTTAAATAAGTTTAAAGAACAATTACTAAACATTTAAATAAATATTCCCATTTATCAACAGGTCCAGCCTCTTAAATCAATGACATGAAAAGGCAGGCTGTTAGAAATTTAAAGAGCCTTAGGAATATAACTGCAATGTGTGTTTTTTCCCCATACCCCAAACAGTTAACTCAATTTTGACACTATCTGAAGAGAACATCACATTCCACAGGTTAAGGGCTCAGGCCCACAAGACTTGCCCTGTTGAGCCAAGGAATGGACTTGGGGCTTTGGAGGGGAGGATGGTCATTCACGGATGTAAAAAGAGCAGATGTTCAGGGATTAGATACTTGCCCTGCCATACACATTTTAGGTCATGAAAATTTATTTCTGGTCATAGCTCTTATTATGGGCAAGGCCCCCAATTTAAATTCTTTAAGGGAAAGATAAAAATTCCCCTTGAGCCCACAGGGTCTTGGTTGCCTTCAGCTCAAAAGTGATCCACGTGCCAAAAAAGCACGTCTTGGGGAGGCCTGTTCTGAGCTCCTCCAAACCTTTTCTAATGAACTGGTAAATGGAAGTAAATGTTTCTGTGAATTCTGTGAGCTGCTCAAGCAAGTTAAACCTGAGGAGAGCCCGGCCGCGCGTGGCTCAGCGGTTGAGCGTCAACCTGGGATCCAGGCAATCGGGGTTTGATTCCCGGTCGGGGCACATGCCCGGGTTGCGAGCTCGATCAATGACTCTCTCATCATTGATGTTTCTGTCTCTCTCTCTCCCTCTCCTTTCCTCTCTCTGAAATCAATAAAGATATATTTAAAAAAAACACACAAAAAACCTGGAGAGGGTGGTGGGAACCTCTGATCTACAGCCAGTTGTTCAGAAGCACAGGTGACAACTGGACTTCCGATTGGCGAAACCACACTGCAGATGGTGGTTTTGTTCCCTCGGTACCTTTTAATCTGGAACAAAACCTTTTGTTCATGTCAGGAACTTGTGGATGAGAGTACTGTCTTGCACAGCGGCTCACCTAGATTTGGTCCCTTTATCCCTCTAACACTGCTCTGTCCGCTACAGTGACCACTAATTGTGTGTGGCTACTGGGCTCTTGAAAGGTGGTTAGTCCAAGTTGCAATGTGTAGTGAGTATAACATACACATTGGATTTCTAAGACTTGGTACCAAAAAGGTAAAATAGTCTACTAATAATTTTTTTGTATTGAATACATGTTCAAATGATAATTTGGACATATATTATCAATAGGTCATATTACTAAAATTAATTTTGTTTCTTTTTCATTTTCTTAATGTATCTAATAGAAAATTTTATTTGTCTTCCAGTATATTTCTACCAGATGGTGCTATTCAGCAAATTTTTAAAACAAAATTGCTCCCCCAGAATGACTTCACATCAGTTCTCTGAGATGTAGTAGAGAAAGAACATTGGTATTCTGAAATGTTTTTTAGCTAGAGTGTTATGACATAGTTGCTGGGTCCTTCTGTGTAGAAGCTAAAAGATTTTCCGTGGTAGGTCTACCCTAGAGCATTTTCAGACCTCATATCCTCCAAGCATGGCATTGTCCAACAGACAAAACAGCTGCTGAAGACGTTGAGTGTCCCTGATAGTGGAAAGTGTTCAATACTGCAGACCTATCCATGTGTCACAAATGCTAAAAGCAAAGAAGGATGTGAGCCGACGCAATGTCATGCTTCATTTTTTTTTTTATGTGTTTATTTTTAGCGTTGGAAAACCTCGATCAGATGGTTGTCTCCAGTTTTGGAAGTCTGGAAAGTCAGCCTGATTTCCGGTCCCCAGAGTTCGTAAGTATTACTACGCTGTTTTAAATTTGTAATGGTTAGCCAGAGATTTCTCACAAAGCGGAGGAAAAGGTGTGGATTTTTCTTTTTTTAATGGATTATTGCCTTCTGGCACAGGTCTCGCTGGCAGTGCTGTGTGTTCCGGGCTCTGGTTCTTTGGGGAACAGGTGACTCTAGAACTGTAGTGTGTGTCTTGGCATCATGCTCGGTGGGCTCTTTCTTCATGCTACTTGTAATCATCAGTGGGAACTCATTCTGCAGTAAAACAGCATGTTTCCGAAGCTCCCCTATCATTTGTTTATACCCATGGCATCAGTTTCTGCTGTTAGCAACTCAGGAAACCAGTCTTTACTGAGCATATACAGGTCTGTTAACCAGTCTGATTCCCATTTCATTCTGGAACCTTCAGTCATACAGCCTGCATAGATGTATCTCGTAGCGCTAGGAGTATTGTATTGATATTCTTCCAAGAGGGGTGACTAAATGCTTTCACTAAATTAGACTCATTAAAGGTAAGCCACGGTTCGTACCCATAAGGAATTAAAAATCTTATTAGATGCTACTGTGATTTTTATTAATGCCTTGTTAAAAGAAAATTAAGCACATAGGATGCTTTATGCAGAATGTACTCACTAAGTAGGTTTTATATTAGATTCATTTAAGGGGTGGGGGGTGGGGGGGAAGAAGTGTATCTCTGACCCCTGTACTGTATTCTTTCACCTGGTATGTAGAAGAAGCGTGCCAGAGTCCACCTACACGTACTGATCTTTGCCCCCTGCTCCAGATGGCTCGCCTACCACTTTAACAATGCAGAAGTCTTTTTACGATTCATTTTCAAAGTGTAATATACAGTCGCCACTCCAGCAATTGGCAGAGCACCATTGTATTATTGATAAAGACCCAAAAAAGAACTCATTATGTGGTTTTCCTCTTCTCGCGCACTCTTTATGGATTGCCCACTCCATTCAGCCAAGAGGAAGGAAACTAGGCAGGGCTCTGGACTGAAAAGAGATCGCACATAAAACTATCCGCAGTGCCATTTTATTTCAGAGTGTGGACTCCTGTGGTGTACTAGCAGATTGCCTACTGTGAAAATCACTTGGCTGTAATAGAAAGACATAGTGTTCGATGACTTCCCTGTTATAGTCAATGAGATTTTCGGCGAGGGAAGATTGTGAGTGCTCACTGATATTCCTGCATCTTAAAGTAGCAGAACAGTTTTGTGGTTTTCCCAATTTCTTCAGTTAGAGCTCCGAAGCAGAATTGGCACACATATTTCACATTTGAGTATGATGTTGGCACAGACTCGTGGAGGCGGCCCTTTTTGGTTTTGTCACTTTCTAACTGCTTTTTTACTGATAACCTGTAAGCAACATATCTAACCTAACAAGAGCTCTGTGCAGTAGGTGTTGCTGTGCTTGGTAAGCACATACAGTTCACACCAATTCCCTGGGTGAAAATAGAAGTATATTTCTCAAGAGCAGATTGTAGTGCACTGTGATGTCTGAGATTGGCGTGCCTCGGTGAGATGCCTGAGATTTGCCACAGACAGTCCACGCTGGTGATTGCACTGGGAACCTTCTGCCTTCACATGTCCCTTTGCAGAGTGTGAGGACCTCTCAGTCCAAGCTAGGATGACCAGGGCTGGAACTCGAGGACCACAGAATATACTTATCATGACTTAACAGTGAGCCTGAGAACCTCCAAGCTGAAAGGAGATTTTTAGGCTCCATCCCCATATTTTTATTTTCCACTCAAGAATATCCGTAGTCATTTCTTTAGACCACAGTAGCGGAGTTGAAGTTGTTAATCACAGTTTTCTTACCTGTGTGGTTGATATCGATGTCTGTAGCCTGGCTGTTATCTTTCTCTAATTGTTTCTTCGCACCATGCGCAGGAAGGAATCTGTGATTTTTCTTGAGCTTTATGGATTTTCACACGTCCGATGCTCACTGCATGCCACATCCCTGTGTGGCATGTATGTAGCTGCTTCTGTTTTCTCCTGAGCATCACTATAACCTCTGTACTCCCAGCTCCACAGTAAACGTGTTTCCCAAACTGCTGTCTCCATGGTAAACAAACAGGAGGTGCACAAGGTGCCTTGAGAGTAGGGTACTCGAGGGAATCAGGCGTGATATTTAAGGGTAGCCTTTTTTGTAGGCAGAACATTACAGCATCAGTGAAAACGGGTGGCCGAGGTCGTGTAGGCAGGTGGATTGGGCAGATGCCAGGACAAAGTCAGGTAAGTTGATCCAACCCTAGCTTTAAAGTCAGAAACAGGGGACATTGTGAACCCGGGAGCAAAGAGAACCCAACAGCAAAGCAAAATTGAAAACAGGGAGAAGACAAAGGAGCTGTAAAATCCGTATTCTGCCCTCCGTGTGGCGGTTTGCTGAGCCGAACTGAAATAAAGCAAGGCACAGACCATGTTTACTCAGGCTTATCCTCAAATAGTTCAGATTTTAGAAGGATCAAGAGCCTAGTGTTTTTATACAACGGAGTGTATTTATACAGTCTGGCCAAGAGGGAGAACAGAAATGCTTTATCATTATTCATTTGTTTCCTTCAGAATTCCTGTTTTTCTTTCCTTTGAAACAAGGCCTGAGAGAGCAGTGCTAGTTGAGTAGCCTTGGTTATCGGCGCGATAAGCACATTAAAAGTTTCCTTCACAGCTCAGGTGTCTGCAAAGTGACTAGTCAGGCAAAGCCAGATAGTCTATGTCTATGTAAATGACTGTAAATAACAGGTAGTAAACAAATGCTGTCGTGAACCCCCTGTGGCCTGGGGACGGCAGCCCACCCTGTGCTCAGCAGGGTCCACACTGCTTCACCTTGCTCACTGCAGAGACTGTCCCTTGATGACCTGTCACCTGCGCATCTGTGCTACTCCTCTCCACCTCCCACCCCACTTCGCAGACGGAGGCAAGTTTAGCCAAACCATGCTGAAATGGAAAGGGGAGCATGGAGATGTGGACACACTGTGTGTGTGTGTTTGCTACTCTGAAGCTTGTGAGGAGCTGGGAACATGTTGAAAGCAGACATGGACCCACTTGGAGATGAGGTGGACATGTGAGTGCGGTGAAAGGGCCCTGGCTAACTGCTGACCTTACAGAGAGTGACTTGGTGGTCTTGCTATGTTGGGAAACCATCTTAGTCCGGTTTGGTTCTTTGTTAAAGCACAATGAAAATCGGTTTTATAACCTGCATTATTAACTTAACATCTTATCCTGAACGTTTCCCATGCTGTTTCTTCCCAGTTTTATTGAGATTTAATTGACATATAATTGACATATAGCACTGTATCCATTCACAGTATACAGTACCATACTGTTTTTTTCTCTAACATTATTATATCTCTAACAATTGTTCCCTTGTGTCAATAAACTATAATTAATCACATTACAATTTTCAGAACAGTCAGTTCAAGGGAAATTAGTCAAGGAAAGGGTTGGTATGGCCAGGTGATTGGTGACCATCGTTTTAGGACATGGACCCCAAACATAGCCTAGGTAGGTGATGACAGGTCTCAGATCCTGGGGAAGGAGATTGGACAGAGTGAGGCTTAGTGATTGAATATCCCCAATAACCTTGTATAGTTCAGACTTTGAAGCAGAGACGGGAGACCTAGGCTGTCTGCTTAGAACTGAGGATGGAAGCCATCCACATGGCCATGCATCAAAGGCTGTTCTGCAGTATGATAACATGAAGCTGCAGGGCATCCAAGCTCCCCACAGTGCTCTCAGTTTCAGGTTTGGTTAAGAGCAAAGGTGATCTGAGGTGGTTCAGTTCAGGGGCTCAGCAGTCATGGCTGACCCAGCAGCCCTCAGGTTTATTCCAAGCCTCAAGAAATGAGGGATTCATAGAGAGAAAGGTTGGGTAGAGGTCAAGTCTGTTTCTAGAAACCCTGTCTCTGTTGGTAGTGGCTCAGGAACTCACATAGGCCTGATTGCCTGAGTACCCATGGGTGAGGGGTGGGTGCAGGGAGGAACTCTGATCTAGCCTTGGTGACTGCTTGCAGCAAGCTGGATAGAACCAGGATGGGTCAACAGGAAACCACATGAAAGGAAAGAGAGGGCTAAGGGATTATGTTTTATGATTTGAGTCTCACTAGTAATATCCCCACTTCCGGCCTTTTCAGACTTGAGATTTATATATAACTCTCCTGGCTTTTGGGGGACAGGAAGATTCTTATCACCTATTGTCTCATGCTATTAGTGATATTTTCCTTTGTTTAGCGTCTACCAAAATTAGAGTAAATAATAATGAGTGTGGGCTGGCCAAAGAGTATTAGTATAAACCAGGGAAGCTGATGAGAAACCAGGGTTTAGAGAGAGACTAAACTAGAAAAATAGACTCAGGAAGATGAAGATTAAAGTGGGATAAATATACTGTATGTCTCCTTCGTTCACCACTTGTGGTTATGCAGAGAGAAGGAAGCCTGAAGAGGATCCCATTGGGGATTTGTGTAACTGGCTCCCTTTTTGAGGGAAGGGAAGATACTACTTTCCAGAAAATACTGTCGATTCCCTGAAATTCAAATTCGATCATCTTTAACTGGATGAAAATATATGCAATCCCCAAGAAAGAGTTAAAATATTCATTCACTTAACAAATATGTATTTGAAGACTACTATTTTAGGCACTATAGTGAAGAAACAGAAAATTCTCCTGTACTTGTGGAGCTTCCATTTTGGTCAGGGAAACATAATAATAATTAAAAAAATAAAATACATCATATGCCAAATGGTGGTAAATCCTTAAGGGAATATAAAGTAAGGATTGTATGTGTGTATTGAGGGGGAAGGGTTACAGTTTTAAATAGTGTTTGGGGCATATCTCACTGAGAAGGTGACAAGTGAAAGACCTGAAAGCAGGGGTGCACACTATTTGGACATCCAGAAGGAAGTAAGAGCATAGGCAAAGGTCTTGCGGTGGGAGTTTGTGATGCGTTTGGGGACATGGAAGGAAGCCGATCTGATTGGAGTAGAGTGAAGGATGGTGAGA